TATATATATATATATATATAATTTTATATATATTACTACGGAGACGACTACGTTTAGATTCAAATAAAAATTTATACTTTGTTTTATTTTTCTGTATCGACAATCTCTTTCACGTAAGAATACAGCAAAATTCAATAGAATTTCGCAGAATCTGTTTTCGGTTATCGAAATGGGAAAAATATACGTTTTTTAGCAAACTACAGTTAGCCCTAAGCAATCTAAATACTTTAGACATGCTACCTAAGCATATGTAAACTCTAAAAAATTAAAAATACTGAATAGAAACTTAACTTTTCATGTAAAAACCAATAACGACAGACTAGGATAGTTACTAAATATTGCGGTATTTGTTTAAAGGATGCATAACAAAGCAAATGGTTAAAAAACGACACGCATTATAAGGAATAATTTTTTTCAAAGACAGATTCATTTTAAAATCTTGCATCTGGTGAGATTATCTTTACACATTAAAAATCTGCTTTTATCTTTCTTTTAGTTTTTCTGCAATTACAAAGTTTAACATTTAGTTCTGTGTACGTTAGATGCATTGTGAAGTAAGATCCAGTTCATATATTTCTTTTATATAACTTTCTGTTTGGATTATTTTACTATTTACTACAGTTTAAGAATTTGCACATGTTATTTATAATATTCATAAACTGTTGAGCCTGAAATGGAATTAAGATTTCTTCAAAATGATAATAATAAATCAAGAAAAATTAATAATTTATTAAAAAACCGAATAAATATATTCAGCAAATTTAAATGAAGGTAATGAAGTAAAAACACTTTCACGTTGATATACTACATAAATAGATTTCAAAAAAAGAATTTCCTAACATACTGAATACATAGGTGCTAAACATTTTTAGAAACTTATGAAAATCAAAAATGTTTTTAATATTCGGACTCACACTTTCGTCCTTCATCTGATTATTTTTTATGAGAAAATAAATTTTTTAAAAATTCTATTACTTTTTTAGTATTTAGTTTTATTATGGTGAATTGCTGTTTTATCGATTCTGTGCAACGGAAAGAAAATTCTTACAATATTCTCTTATTATTAATTATTTAATTTATAATTGATTTCTTTTTTTTCCAGTTTTTTCAAAAAACGATACACTTGGAAAACGTTTTATTTAATAATTCGTAAGAATATCTAAATCATTTCCTGGGTAGATAATTAATTAAATCAAATAATATTTTAAGCTAGGAAATCAAGCAAGAAAGAATAACTTACCTAAAAAAATAAAAGAATTTTGGTCTGATTCGGCTTTCTTACCCTCGAAATACCAAAGCCTGAAAAATATGGTTCTGATAGTTCACTCATAAGAACAGTTGAAACTTATGCGTTTCGTATACATTACTCTATGTATTAAAAATAGGTTAAAAAGCAAACAAAAACTTTTTGCACAAAACTATACCAAAAGGCACTGTCATTCCAAAGGCAAAAATTAATCATTAATTATTTCTTTTTACTTTTTAAATTTAATAATAACGGAAAACTTCAAAAGTTGGGAAAGCTTAAATTCTTCTTAAATTATACAATGTGAAAAGATATTTAAAATCAGAAAGAAATCGATGTCCCGAAAAATAAAAAAAAACCTACATTTTGAAGTTCAATTACTGAGAAACTATTCGCTTGAAATATTTTAAATATTGCCTATTAAAATATGCGTAGCATACAAGGTAAAAAAATTTTATTCTAAGTGTAAGAATTTCTTTCCGCTATTCATTTTCTATATTTTCAATAATGCTGCCTTTTTCCTAACATTCTGTTGTACAATTTTATTCTTAATTTATGCCTATAAATTTTTATTTGTTTAGAAAAAAGATAATTATATTATTATAGCAATTTTTATTGTCATCAAGATTTTTCGACCCATTATAAGAAAAACTTCATAATTTAATGAAAAACTTCATTTTCATAATTTGTAAGACTGTTTATTTTTTCAAGCTAACTGCAAAGTAATTATTTTACACGGCAAGAATTTACAACTCTTGCATTCTTTGCTACAAACTAAAAGTGAACTCATACTGCATTGAGAGTTGTAAACTGTGGTTTTATTCACGTGTTACAGCAGCACACGCATGGAACTCATATATATATATATATAATATTGATGTTACACAATGGCGAAAGGACGGCGATGGCAAAGCTAAATATTTATTATGTACTGATTTTTATGAGTATTGAATAAAGTAATTTGGTATTTATAAATAATTGTTCTGTGTTGATTTTCGTATAGCAACAGCGAGCTTAAATAATAGAATAGAACTTGTGTATTAAGAGTCCTAATTTAATAAGATCTCAGATTTAACGAGAGGATGTTTTTAGCGTAGCTCTGAATAAACAAGGATTTTTTTCCTTAATTTCTTTAAAATAATTTCATCGAACCAAAAAAAAAAATTTTTTTTTTGACTCACGATGGAAATTTCATTCCGAGGCTGTTTAAAAACAAACAAACCCATAGTTCAATTTATTCAAAAATTGTACAATCAAGAGAAAAATGTCTCCTTTGTGTTTCTTATGTTTCTGCGTCTATGTTTCTGATCAAATGTTGCAAAGTGCCAAATTTGACAGCAATGGGGTAAAAAACAATTAACCGCCAATTATAACCTAAGTCACTAAGTCTTAAGAAATTGAAATTTTTTCTAGAAGTAATACTAATTATAAACCTATATCATTAAGCCAAAATTGATCATCATCTTGGTATTCACGTATTACACCAGGAGGTGAGGATCTAATTTGGTGTCATCAGATAAATTCTCAAAAAATTCAGCAAGACTACTATTATTTATGCGAACTGGCATGTATTTCTTGAAATATCTCCATTTGAAGCAACTTTTGCGCCATCTTTATGTTGCAAGATGCAACACCCTGTATGTCAGATTGGGCTGCATTTTTGGAAAACCCAAATCTGCAATAAAAAGAAGTTTCTGTTTAAGACCACGAAGTTAGATCCACAAAATCTCCTGGGTGTGAAGAAGGGGTTAAGTTAGATATCATTGAAAGAATTTATTAAAAATGATTCATATATTTGTGTTTATAATTTTGATTCAACGTAAACTTCGTAAGCCCTTACGAAATTGCAGTAGGTTAGTCGTAAAAAATATCTTAGGATATCCCTATGGTTTTTTGCCTGTGTTGAAATATTACTATAAGCTTTTGCTATAAACGTATGGCAAATTTTTGTCATAAGCGTACGTCAAATTCGATTCTTTTGCGTATGGCAAATTTTTGCTATATGTATGGTAAAATTTTACCATATTTTAAACTGAATTGGTATATGCTATGTTTTTTTTATATAGTAAATTTTTGTCATGGAACTATTGTGTGCTATGGCCTATGATTAAAATCTTCCATTGGCTATGGCTGCATTTTTTCACAGTCTTTATGAAGCTTTATCCAAAGCAAATTTAGACAATATAAACAAATGTCATTGAAATAAAGTGAGCTTTTTGCAGGAATGATCACGCTACAAGAATGATAAAATTAAGTTTAAAGTAATT